ACGCGACTTCTGGCACGGAGGACAGGAAGACGGGTGGGGAGGCGGTTTTTGCTTGGAGGGAGAGTCCCCCTCCCTACAGGAAGCCACGACCACGTGTCATGGGAGGGAAAATGGCTGCGGCTCCTGTTCGTCACCCAATCCGGCGTTCATGAACGGAGGCAAAATTTTGCGAACGGAGCTGTTCGTGACCCGAATTGGTCATGAACAGAAGTGTTCGTGACCCAAGATACCACTGTATTCCTGCTCTGGCATGACTAGACTTTCCAAGGGCGTTGAGGCTAAAGACTTTAATCCGGCGTTCATGAACGGAGGCAAAATTTTGCGAACGGAGCTGTTCGTGACCCGAATTGGTCATGAACAGAAGTGTTCGTGACCCAAGATACCACTGTATTCCTGCTCTGGCATGACTAGACTTTCCAAGGGCGTTGAGGCTAAAGACTTTCTCCCCATTAAGCACAAGAACACAAAGAGGATTATGAAAGAGCGATACAAGTACGGAAAGCCATTGATCAAGTGGGAATGCACATTAGCCTGGAATAATCCCACAGGCGGGAAGCTCCCTACACTTGATTTCAGGCAACAATATTGCAAAGCTTTTCTTCTGGAATAATTTAAATTTTTTAAAAAATGATTGTAATTGGGGACCTCAATGTCTACTTTAGTATACCAATTTCAAAACAACAACAACCTGGTGGTTCCCATGTATTTGTTATCCTATTGTTTAACTTTGTGATAGGTTCAGGGGTAAAAAAACTTATTAAATATACATAACTTGCTAGGGATCTATTGACTCGGATCTAATGATGTCTAAAGATTTTCTTGAAAAAATCTGGACACCACAGCAGAATTGGCTCAAGTGCCCAGTGAAGGGAGAACATGAAAAGGGTAGAACTCTTTGGATGTGTCCCCTATGTAAAATCACACTAAATTACAGTGAAATAGAAACTACTTAAACACTGCTAAAATTCCTAAATATCTATGAGTTTAATAAGCAAGCAAGCAGTTTAGCAACATTATAAACATTCAGTCAATTTATAAGAAAAGCTGATATTACAATTCTTAAAACTGGCAAAATTTCACAACTTTAGAAAGTAGGGCTATGCAGTGCTTCAGAGTATGGGGGGCGGGGTACCTGTTGCAATTGTTGCTGTTTCTCAATACTGTACAAGAATGTGTTATATTTTATATAAAAATGACTACCCTACTTTTGCTTTCTATGGATCACTCAGAGCAGAATGAGGAAATGGTCAGAAAAGTCTCTTAGGCCATGTTTGCTCAGCAAGCTAAACTTTGTTCAGCATTAACCATTGTCCAGGGACTAAGAAATCAATCATGACAGCAACTCTCCCCACCTTCTTTACTTTTCTGCATCTACATTTAGTATAAACAAAGCAGTTTGGTTTTTTGGAGTAACAAATGAATATTTTGCATCCAAGTACTCTTCTCAAGTGCCCTCCTCCTTATCTCTGCGTATCGGACAGCACAGCATGTAGGATGGGCCCTACGTGCAACTAACATCCTCTACATGTATGTGTTTTACTTATTTATACAACAGCAATATCCTTGGTTTTTTACAAAGTGGAAGAAATCCAGTCCCTGCCGTGAGGCTGTGAGGAGCTGGTAATCTGAAATTTGGCACATGTGAAACAAAGGTGCCCAACACAGCACCTCCTTATGTTCTGCAAATGTATGGCAGCCACGTATGTTCAGGATGTGGGGAGCAGCGGCTGTAATCTTGCGTTCTTCCCCACATTGGCTGTGCACAAAAGACAGCAGAAGAAGAAGGCTTTGGGCTCATCCTTGCTGTTTCCTATAAAATCTGTAGAATTAGTGGAATTGCTGGTTTAGGAGAAAACATATCTATCTATCTAACATCTCTCTCTCTCTCTCTCATTATAGGCCTATAATAGATATATACTGTATATTTTTCCATAATGGACTCTTACATGAAATCGAACACATTTAAATACCATAAGAAAAAAACTAATGCACAGAAATGAAAAACAGATCCTCCAGGCAGGATATTTCAGCCTTTGCATACAAGTACAGCAGAAACCTAAGAACTGGCTTCAGAACTCCCCATCTGTTCCTTCCTCACTTGCCTGCTCCTTTTCCAGCTGGGGTAGTTAACAAAGAACTTCATAACTGGGCACCCAAGACAAAGACATACCTTACATCTGCCATACTTTGGAATGTTTTGTTAATTTTCCCCATCTGGAGGAGCAGAAGGTAATAGTAATTAAATGTGTATCCATTAGGAAGGCAAGGAAGGAAAAAGGCTGCAATACTTCAACTGGCATTCAGTTCCCCACGGATATATTTACTTAACACAGGGGTACAAAAAGTGTGCTCCACCAGCATCCTTTCTGTAATCCTCAAAACAGTGGGATACAAGTTTTGCACAAGTTTTTACTTTTTTTTGAAATTTTGGAGAAAGTTAGGAGACAGAATGGGTGTCTCCTAAACCTTGCAGAAGCTTGAAGCTTGAACCTCACCTCCCAAATGGGTGTTGATCCTACCCATTTTTATAAGACCACTCAATATAACATGTAAGAGCTTGCAGCAGTTCTCAAACTGAAAAAAAATGAGCACTTCTAACAATTCTAATTGGATATTATTGAATTGTCAGACTTGAAGACTGACAGCTTATGGTGAACCCCTCACAGCAAGCCCATATTTTGTGTTAGTTCTATTTCATATTACGCATAACAACACCCACTTACTTACATCAGAATTCTGCGCTCTGGCCCAAATTCAGCTTCATAATAACCATTTTCACAGTCCTTTCCAACCAGCTGGTGAGGATGCGGCCTGTAGGGTTCATTCTTAGTTACCAATGTTATTCTGATTTTTACTTTCCCAAAGTAGTTCAGGATCTAAAAATAAAAAAAACACAGAGCATCATATAATGATATAACTACGCCCACAGGATGAAAGATTACAAATCTCAAACCTTTCCCAGAACCCTTCTGGGTCTATACACCCTAGCTTTGTGTCCTGCCTTAGTGATTCTTGCTGCCACCAGCTATCTTGGTATCCTTCCTGCTAATCCTAGTGCATGAGAGAGACAAAACTTCCACAGCTATGTGCTTTACTGGCAGATAAAAAAGATTAAAAATTGAAATAAATTCTATAGTGCTATCTCCTGACTTTGTAGTGTTGAGGGATATGGCTTCAGAAATCAGTCTCTCCCTCTTTGTGAGGAGATAGATCAGTCAATCTCACAAGAGATAAAGAGAATCAAACTTTATTTAAAAAGGAAAAGAGATAATGTAACAATTCCTTTTTAACTTTAAGTAGTTACATGCAAAATAAACAATGGGGGAAGAAATAAAAAAATAAGGCTTCCCAAATCACAGAAGAACCTACAATAGGAAAACATACAGAAAAAATATAAGGTTCTGAACAGATCTCAAAATTATGTGGATCTGCTTCTATTTAGGATCTATTGTAAACAGATGCCAGTGTGCATAAAGTGTACAGGGACTGTGTTTGTGTAGAGACAATAATTAGACTTAAATACGCACAAAAAGTAATTAAACTAAACTCAGATCTTAGCTAACTATTTTCCTGTTCCTCTAAAGAGTAGATGAAGCTTGGAATAAATGTTACCTTTGCACCAATTTGTTACTCTGAAAATCCTTTTTCCTGAAAATTCCAAGTTTAATCAGAGCTTGGAGGAGAATCTTAGCTCTCTTTTTCCCTGCCTGCCCTCCATCACAAGATTGAGTCACCAACAAAATATGGCTACTAAAAGCTAAAGACAATGCAAGGTTGCATAAGTAGAAGTATAGTTTTCAAATGACTGGAAATAACAGTTCAATTCTATTCTGTCATACTCTATTTTGAATACTATGTCCATTTCTGGACATAAGGATTCAGGGAAACAGAATTGGGTTCAGAGTAAAGCAACAAACGTGATTATAGACACTAAGATGTCTCTCAACATTCATAGGATTGCTGGTTCTCAGACAGGGAATATACATACTTGAGTATACTTAGCCTTGAGATAAGAAGACTGAGAGGAAATACGATAACAGTTTGCTAATATATGAAGGGGTGTCACATAGAGTACTTTACCATCTTAAAATGCAGGACATAAAATAATGGCTTTAAGTTAAGGAAGGCAAAAATACTCAGTGGTAATGCAGAAATAATGGGCCCCCTTTCTCTGGATGTGTTCAAATGAAATCTGGAGATGCTTTGATTAGGAATCCTGCACTGACCCAGAGATAAGACTTAATACTTTAATGACCTTTTCCAATTCTATGATTCTAAGATCCTCCTTGTTTTCCAAAGCCACACTATCTTTTAATTTCAGTATTGAGCCAAACAATAATGTAGCTTGCTTAATTTCATTTTAACCAGTCACTATGTTTTACAATGTGCTGTTATGGGTGAGCCCAGGGTGCTTTATTCAATAAACCATGGTTTTGGGTGAGATGCGATTCCTATCTTATTTCACCAATGAATTTACCATGTTACCCATACACAGAAGACAGCCCCTTTTAAATTAATGGAGCTTACTCCCAGGCAAGTGGACACAGGATTACAGCCTGAAGATGTAACCCTGTGCTCACTTAGAATCAGCTTTATTGAACTAAATGAGGATATTTTTCTCAGTAAAAACTCATCAGGGATGCATCAAGCTTATTAGCAGAGCACACATTTTAATGCAGGAGACTCTCGGCTTCAATCCCTGAAGACTCCAGTAAAAAGAAATCAAACAGCAGGCAGGTGTTATCTTTCTGACTTTTCTCTGCCTGAAACCTTTAAGAGCAGTTGGCACTATTGTTGCTCTTGTTGTTTTTGTTCCTCCTCCTCCTCCTCCTCCTCCTCCTGCTGTACCGTACATC